CTCCTGGAAAGCTCTGTTTAGCCATCGTGAGTAATACTTTCGGAGTACTGTAATTATTTTAAGGGCAAAGTATCAACCAATAGTACTTGGGAGATCACCCCCATGTTATAATTAAGCCTCACCAAATCCAGCTTACATGTGGATTTTGGTATTTGCACACAATGGCTCTTTGCCTTACATATGGTCCTTGGAGCCATCTGGGTGGCTGAAACTCTTAGCAATCTTGGCATTTAAGTATATTACTGAAACCATTTAAGTCAGGGGACTGTAACCTTGGCCACTTTAAACCTGGAAGACTTCAACTCCCAAAATTCTGGTTGGATCTCCTGTTCAGTCCAACAGGATCTTGTTTTGCCAGTGCATTTTATTTATATTTATTTATCAGGTTTGTTAAGATGATCCAACTCCACAAAAACTTTGAGCAGCTCATAAAAAGTTAAATGAGTGTGGACCTTAAAAAAAAAAAAAAGGAAATTATTGCTGGAGGCAGTTAAAGACTTGAGAAAACTTGCTTCTCCAAGCAGAATTGCTTCTCAATGAAGTTGGCATTGAGGACGACCCTATTCCTTGCACGTTTCCCTTTCTTGCAGGATTATTCCCAGTCCGAGGTTCAAAGAAAGCACCTCTTATCTTTAAGGACGTTTTCTTCCGGAAAGCTTCCAAGAAGAGACTGGATTGCCATCTGTCAAAAATGGTGTAGGGTCTCCTGCTTGGGCAGCGGCCCGGGGGGTTGAACTAGATGACCTCCAAGGTCCCTTCCAACTCTGTTCATCTGCAATCTGAAGGAATTTTTGTGGCTATTGATGGCACTTTTTTAAAAAAAGCTGTTTTTGAATACTTTCCTTTAAATTAAAAAGAACAGCAGCCACAATCAATAAACAAATAAAAGCAAGCAGACAGGGAACAAAGAGCTTCTTTCAGGCTCTTTTAAGTGGCAGCTGCAGATGGCTGAGTGTCCTCTTGACCAGAAGGGAAACTGAGGAAAGTAAAGTAAAGCTGGCTTGGTTATCCTTTCGGAGAGTTTGGTGGCTCTGGAAGCCTGGTGGGAAAAGTCCTCTCTCGTTGGCTAAATTCTTCCGTGTTTCTTCCTCCTTCTCCCCCTCCCCCTGAGATGGGCTAGTTGACCTTTTGGATCTCACGCTTCTTAACAGCATCCCATCATCCCTTAAGTTGCGTGAGTCACCCAGTCTGCCTTCTCCTCCCCCCTCCCCAGAATAAATAAGGAATAAGATGCTATCTGGGCGATCCAGCAGGTTGAATTTCTTGGCTTGCTTGGAAGTAGCTGGTTTGGCCAAGGTCCCAATTGCCTCCTCCTCTTCCTCCTGCTCTTCCGGTTTTTTGTTTTTTTTTAAAGATGAACGTTTCACAAACGTTTCACCTTTCAAACCACAGCTGGGCAGGCAGGGGGCCTTTAATTTCCCAAGCACCTGGGCATCTGGGTTGGGAAGGCAGCCCCTGCTGAAAACCCAGAAGCTGCCTTGCTCTTGGCTGAAAGCAACTGGAGAGATGGGAGAAAGTGGTGGCTGCTGCTACTCCTGCTTTGCCAAGAAAAATGAGAGGGGGGGAGGATGGAGAGCAACGGGAGGCGTGTTTTTCAGCCAGGAGTGCGCGCCCCCTCCCCATATCTCTCCGGAAGACAAGCCTGGTGATCCAGATGCTTCAGGGATACCTAGGAACTCAACCTCTGGCAAAAGCCCCCAGATGTGACCCAGCCAGATCAATTGTTTTACTGCAGACCCAGATCGATGCCATCTCTGTGCAGAAGATGATCTGCCTGTCGCCGGAGACAGAAACCAAACCCTAAATGTAGGTTGGCTCCAGGGTTGAGATTCTAGGCCTTTTTCAAGTTCACGTCAGTCCCTTCCTTGGCCTTGAGAGCTGGAGCATCTGCTTGGCATCTGCTATAACGATGGCGACTGGATTGGGACCGGTTGGTTCCTGCCTCACCCGCTTGAACACTGAATATTTTACTATTTGTGATGATAATCGGTTGCTGGTTATCTCTTCCTAATGGCTGCTACCACACCTCTCTCTCTCTCTCTCTCTCTGTTTCTCCCACTCTCTCTGTCTCTCTCTCTCTCTATATATATATATCTGTCTCTGTTTCTCTCTCTCTCTGCTTCTCCCTCTCTCTCCCCCTCTGTCTCTCTCACCACAGCAATTTTCTCCATCTCAACTCTATTTCAAAAGTGCTGAATGGACGGTGTTTATACTGGGTTGCATGGATGCCTCCACACCCCGAGAATGTGCCCCAGAAATGCCAGTGTTGTGATTTCGGGCCATTTTGTGGGTTTCTGGGCGGTTTCAAGAATGCCTCCTCCTCCCTCCTGCTCTCCAGTATAAAAGAGGCCTCGTGCCACCCCATGGCCTCCAGCACACCCTTTGCAGGGTAGAATGTGGTGAAACCGTGCATGGTGGGAGCATCGATTGTGGTTTGGCTCTAAGGCCTGTGGCTTCTTTAGAGGGATTGAACAGTGGATCCAAGGTGGTGCCATCCAATTAAGACCTGGGGATGATTTTTGGAAGTCCAGGCTCTCTCGGGAGGTTCTTATATGCTTCATCTGCATCTACACTGAAAGGGCAGGGTTAATAATTGTGACTTGTGAGTCACAGGCATTAAACTGACTCTGCAGGGGAAAATGTTGTCTTTTTTGTGGCTTTGATCCTCTCTCTCCATTCCAAGCATCCCTGCCTAATGCAAATCAACGGAGCAGGAAAACACCAGGTGAAACAACTCTCGGGTTTGCATAATGACCTGTTCCTATGAATGTGTTCTCGCCTTTGATTTTGCTGGTTGAAATTTGCCCCCTTGGACAGTGGTGCTTCCTTCCTTGTTTGCATCTCTAGAAAAAAAAAGGGCTTTCAGCAGATACATGTGATGCGCTCCTCCAGATGCTTCCCCAGATGTCAGTTTGAAGGAGGAGGAAGAGGAGGAGGAGGAGGAACCAGCCCCAGGCATGTCAGGAGGGGAGCTGGTCGTTGGCTGTGAAGCAGGGGTTGCGAGTCCAAGTGAGAGGGAATGGTTGATGGGAGAGAAACTGCTGGTTGAGAGGGATTGGAGGAAGCACGGCTGCAGCCGGAGAGCCCTGAGGCTTCATGGTGGGCAAGCACGCAGCTACAGCCGTTCAGGGATGAGAAAGGGGAACTGCCTTCTGCAGCTGATCCAAGGACACGTAGGGAAGACACAAGGCAGGAGCAGCGAAGGTCACCCTGATTACACGTGAGGAGGCAGCCTCATCTTCTGAGAGGGATCTTGGAGTCTTGGTGGACAACCAGCTAAATAGGAGCCAGCCGTGGGCAGCCGCCGCCAAAAAAGCTAAGTTGCATTAACAGAGGGATACAATCGAGATCAAGTGATGTACTAATACCACTCTATAAAGCCTTAGTAAGAGCACACCTAGAGTCCTGCATCCAGTTTTGGTCACCACATTATAGAAAAGACGTTGAGATTCTGGAAAGAGTGAAGAGAAGAGCAACCAGGATGATGATGGGACTGGAGGCTCAAACATCTGAAGAACGGTTACAGGAACTGAGCATGGCTAGTCTAGGGAAGAGAAGGACCAGGGGAGACAGGAGAGCAGCCTTCCAATATTGAGAGGAGGAAGGGGGTCAAGCTATTCTCCAAAGCCACTGAGGGCCAGACAAGGAATAATGGATGGAAACTGAACAAGGAGAGATTCAACCTGGAAATAAGGAGGAATTTTCTGAGAGGGAGAACAATCAACCAATGGAACAGACTGTTGCCCTCAGAAGTTGTGGGAGCTTCACCACTGGAAGCTTTCAAGAAGAGACTGGACTGCCATCTATCAGAAATGGTATAGGGTCTCCTGCTTGGGCGGGGGGTTGGACTAGATGACCTACAAGGTCCCTTCCAACTCTGATTATCTGTTAAATCTGTTAAATCCCTCTTGAGGGGCTGCACCAGAAGTTGGCTGTTTAGCACAGCAGACAAATGGAGATGATGTGGGGAACAAAACATTCACTTCCTAGCTGCATGTTTCCTGGTTGTTGCAATTCCTGACTCACTTTGGATCATGTTTTGTGAATTCTGGACTTTTCTTGCCTCCTGAGCCCTCGTGTATTGTGGATTTAATTTTGCCTGATGGATTTATCTTGTTTGGGGAAACTTTCAAGGGCCTTGTAGACTCCTTGGCCATTGCTCTGTGGACTAGCATTGGTCTGCTTTTGGCTGGATTTAATTGGGACAACGCTGGGTTTTTGATGAAGGGAATTGCTGTGGAATATTAATAAAGCCACTAAATCCTCATTACAGGTGTGTTTGAGTGAGCAGGACAGCACAATATTACCTGGGGTGGCTGACAGAACATCCTGGTAGCTGCTTTAGAGAAGGAGGGAGTCTTCATGGTGGGAAAAGCATGCACAAATTCCTTTTTTTTTTTTTTGCTCTTGCCATTTTGGAAACATTAGACCTATTTAAAAATTGAATTTAAACTGCTTGAATTCATACTCTATTCACTTTCATATTTACTTGATTTAAAACACACGTGCACATGTACCTTTAAATTATTTGAATTTTGCTGTTGAAAATGGCATGTATACAATCTGTTGGTAGCCTGAAAAAAATGTCAGAGGGAAGGGAATGGAAAGGAAAGGAGGAGGGGGAAGATAATTCAGGCACCCGTTCTCAAACTAAAAGGGAATTCCGGTGTAATGATCAACTGGATCTTGTTCCAGAATGAGGAATTGGGTTTTCCAGTAGGATGGACAGCTTGACTCTGCTTCCAAACTCTTATTCCTTATAGATTGCGAAATACAAATGGTGCTCTTAATTGCCTTATTTAAGCAAAACCCTGCAATTCCAATAATCTTACTAATTTTAATCTTGGAAAACTCTGCATAAAGAGCACCATTAGAACTTGTAGGCATCTAAAGGGATCACTCCACTGTTCCCACCCCAATTCAAGTGGTTCCTTACTCCCACGGCCAGGTCCGTAGTTAGAGTATGCTAGCTGAACTTGGTTCTCTCTTGCCATTTTCAGGGGGCTTCGCTATTGTATTTCTGGTGAGGACCAGCAATGGGATGAAATGTGCCCTCAAACGGATGTACGTGAACAACGAATATGATCTGCAAGTGTGCAAGCAGGAAATCCAGATTATGGTGAGTATGTGGAGCCCTCGTGATGCTGCCTTATGGTACATGTTTACATGGGGACGATAAGCATTTTTAAGAGAGAGAGCTGGGGAAAAACAGCGGTTAATGAGAGAGGTCGTGCATTGATTATTCAAAAAATAATGGCATGAAATGGACAAATTGACTGTAATGGTACAAAAGAGGAGTCTGAATACTATAGAATCTGGAGAAAATAGTATAATTGGATTGAATGAAGACAGAAAATGAAGGAATTAAAGATAAGCCACTTATAGGTTAAATGTGTATATTCGCACAAATTTGTATATATTTGTAAATATGCACAAAAGATAGAAGTGTACGAGATGGATGTCACAAAACTGTTAACATCATGATATTTTTTGTTTTATTTTTAAAATATGCAAAAGACTAAGAAAGGTTATTTAAAAGAGAGAGAGAGAGAGAGAGGTCGTGCAATGCTTGTTGATCTTTTAAACCTTGAAGGAGAGGCTTGTTTAAACTCCAGCAACTTGGAACGGGGGCACGGAGATCAGATGTATGGCTAAGGGTCAAGGAACGATCAGCAAACAGGCTGGTTAAAGGGGGAAAAAAAAATACCAGGGATTTCCTTTGCTCAGTTAGGAAATGAGTGGTCTTGCATGCAGGTTTACGGCTGTGGCTCACAGTAAAAGTGTGCCTTTTGCTCTTTTTCCAGAGGGATCTTTCGGGTCACAAGAACATTGTTGGGTACATTGACTCCACAATAAATTCAGTGAGCAGCGGAGATGTATGGGAAGTCCTAATTTTAATGGATTTTTGCCGAGGTATGGAAACATTCATGGGAACCATATTTGCAAGCCATCTACTATTCCAGAGGCCTCCAAACTTGGCCACTTTAAGGCGGGTGGACTTCAACTCCCAGAATTCTCCAGCCAGCTTTGCTGACTGGAGAATTCTGGGAGTTGAAGTCCCCCCGTCTTAAAGTGGCCAAGTTTGGGGACCCCTGGGCTAAAAACGATGACTTCGTTCAAGCCAGGCCCTTCAACCGTTCAGCATAATAAGCTGGCTTGCTTCGGGGTCAAGTGAACATGGGAGTCGTTTTTGTTGAGCCTGGATTTCGAGCAGGCGTGTGTTTTAAACGCCGGGCGGCTTTTTGGCAATTCCCTTCCCTTCCTTCCTCTCCTCCAGGAGGCCAAGTAGTGAATCTGATGAACCAGCGCTTGCAGACAGGGTTCACGGAAAATGAAGTCCTGCAAATCTTTTGTGACACCTGCGAAGCGGTGGCCAGGCTGCACCAGTTCAAATCTCCCATCGTCCACAGGGATCTGAAGGTAGCGGGACCTTGTGCAAAGGCCTGGGCGCAGTTGGGTGGGTCGTAAGAGGAAAGGCACAACATCTGTTGCTGCTTTTCAACCTGGACAAGCTTGAAGGATCTCCTCCAGCTGGCAAGAGGATTACACAAAGGATGGCAGGAGTGGTAGATGAGGCCACTTTTAAAAGCATTTGGACGTAACAAATGCAGTCCTTGTTTAGCAACCGCAATTGGGACCAGCAACCTGGTCATTAAGCAAAGCATTCAGTGAAGCGAAGTGGTTGCGAAGGGAAACCCCCACTGTGTTTATGATCTTCCCTCCGCTCTCCTTGGCTTTACAGAAGGCAAAAGGTTGCAAATGTGTAGATTGGCTGCAAAGCTATTTTTTCCATCCCTGTGAAATTGCTCCCCTGCAGGGAGTAAAAACTCTGAAAATACATCAGTAAAACTCTTGGCTTAATTCATTACATCCATTACATTTATGTAGCTGCCCATCTCATATAGTGCCTTGAGTAACATTCTATATGAATGACTCCTTGACAATTAAAAGAGGACAAAAACAAAATAAAAGCCCCACCAAGGATAGCTCTGGGCCAAGAACATCCAACTGTTTGAGCTCAGGTAGGAAATCCCTGGAGTATCCCAGGAACTGGTTTAGCTTGAAATGTTTCTCCCGTTGAGATACCTCACGCTCCAGAAGTTATCCATTATCCAAAAAAAAAAAAAACCCAACCACCACTGCTCACCTGTTTATCCTGAGCTTATCGCAGCTACCTGCCTGATTTGTTTCCAGGTGGAGAACGTCCTGTTACACGATCGTGGCCACTATGTCCTCTGTGACTTTGGGAGCGCCACCAATAAATCGCAGAATCCTCAACTGGAAGGAGTGAACGTAGTGGAGGAAGAAATTAAGAAGTGAGTCTGCCTGTTTTCAAGTTTTTTTTTTTTTTTTAAAAAAAGACTTTTTGTACCTAAAACATTTTACATCTATCAGACTCGCAATAATGCCACAGTTTCTCTTGGGTGTTTCATGGCTGCGTTGATCCATGCACATCCGTATGAATCCCAGTCCCCAGTTGTGTAAGCTTTGAATATGAGTAGCAACTACAATATCCCACAGGTTTAAGGTTTTACGTAAGGAAAGAAAGAGCTGAGGATTAACCAGCAAGATTTAGAAATTAAGGGCCAATGGGGACATCAGACATTCCAGAAAAAGCTAATATTTCTATCTTTTGAGGAATTTTGAAAAAACTACAGCAAATTGAGAATATTTGAATACTTTGAGAATTAGACGAGAAACTAATCCAGGAGAGATCCAACTAAGGAGAAATTTCCTGACAGTGAATACAATTAATCATTGTAATGGCTTGCTTTCAGAAGTTGTGAATGCTCCATCACTGAAGACTTTTTAAGAAGAGATTGGATAGCTTTTTGTTCAGAACAGTATAGGTTGGACTAGAAGACCTCCAAGGTCCCTTCCAACTCTGTTATTCTGTTATTTCAGGCTAGGAACTGCCAAGTTTTCTGATGAACATTTGAAAGATTACTTGATGGCCACATGGCAGAAGTTTAAAATAAATAATTATTCCCACTGAATATGAGATCCTGAGGATGATCCTTTGTATGGTTACTCTTTATTGCTGGTGGAATTTCTAGCATGTACATAAAAGGAATATGAAATTGGAATAAAGATGTTGACAGACTCCTAGAATTTTAATAATTGTGCTTATATTGGAGACCATCATTATATCTTTCAGGTTCAAATAATCACAAGCAGTCTGCTTTTTATTTTGGTACCAGTAATTACATAAACGTGGCATTTTATCCCACGACTAGAAGAGAATAACAATCTTAACTACTACGGGTTATTTTGACTATCCAAAATGCAGCAGTCCTCTTTTCTGGTGGGAGAAATTGTTTATTTTTGAACCTGCTCAGGCATTTCAAATATTAACTCTAAAGGTTGTTCAAGGAACATAAAATCCTAATTAGTTTTATGGGAGGGAAACACCACGAGGTTGGTCAGAGTGTCATAGCTTCCTCTTCGATTGCAAAAACACGGATTTGTGTTTTGTTGTAGATATACCACGCTCTCGTACAGAGCTCCAGAGATGGTCAACCTCTACAGTGGCAAACTGATCACCACAAAAGCTGATATCTGGGTATGTAGCCTCGGGATGGTGGCCCAAGGGAGTGCAGGAGTTGCGTTTCACTTTCCAAATTCTCTTTCTTTTCTGGCGTAGATAAGCACATGTCGTTTTGGGATCACAAAATCAGAAAAGTTATGGCCAGGCAATATATAATGATATAACGAGGCATATTTAGTGGTGTGCTTTATTGAAGTATTTTATGGAGAGGGGAGGTGTCAATATTTTATAGCATGTCATAAGAATAAGACTGCAGTCTTTGTATTGTTCAGGCTTGTATATTGCTTGGAATCTCTGATAATATGGTGAAGGTAGAAATAAACATTGAACAAGAGATGGCTGTAGGCGGGAACAAGGCATGGGAAGCGACTCCGCATGCCTTTATGACATGCGATTAGTGCGTATTATTCATACTGACTGGCATGCACATTACACACTTCACATTCTAGCTGTGATGAAGTCATGGCACACATATCAAGCTTTGGGGCAGTTGACTCAAATCAGAAGAAAATCCTTTTCCCCAAGTTTGAATCCCCTGGTCTTCTTTAGCTAGATTGATGAAAGGGACCGTGTTACAAGAATTTCAGCAACTAAACTCTTTCCCACTTAAAACCAACTCATCTTCTAGGTATTAGGCCAGAGGTCTCCAAACTTGGCAACTTTAAGACTTGTGGATTTCAACTCCCAGCCAAGCTGGCTGAGGAATTCTGGGAATTGAAGTCCACAAGTCTTAAAGTTGCCAAGTTTGGAGACCTCTGTATTAGGCTTTGGTGATTTAATTCTTACAGGTTTTTCTTTCTTTCTGTGAACAAGTAATGGAGAGGTTTTAAAATATGGCCCTGGCTTGTCCAGGGAGCAGAGGGCAAACAGCAAGGAAGGCCAGCTCAGGAAGGGCTGTTTTGTGGCAGGTTGCTCTTTCCCCGTCTCATTTTCCAGGAGAAGTAAGGAGATTAATTATAAGCGTCTAATTAATCTGGGTTTGGATGAGCTGTGAGATGAGCCTGCAAGTGTCAATGTGCAGAAGTGTCTGTTTAATTCTTATCAGCTTGTGAATTGACCCATAAAGCTTCGTCACATCATTCTGCTTGATGCCTCTGGACTAAAGCCTTTTGAAAGGGTGGCTTGGAAAACCACATTAAATAGGGATGCTCTCAGGCTGCTCGCATGGCCTGCCAAACCAAGCTTAATGTTTACTGAGTTCAAGATCACACCCAGTCAAACCATGTGACATAGTGGTCTACTACTAGTTGTATTTTAAATTGTCACTTTGTTGTTTGTATGTATACCGAGAGCTTGAGACAAATTCCTTGAGCGCCCAACCGCGCTTGGCCAATAAAGAATCCATTTTCTAAAAGAGATGCTAAGAGACAGGAAGCTCTTGTCTAGCGGGAAGGATGAGCAGCGGCTGCTTCTATGAGACTCTGAGGATTGGCTGATCTCCTTCTTCCAGGCCCTGGGGTGTTTGCTCTACAAACTCTGCTATTTTACTCTGCCCTTTGGGGAGAGCCAAGTGGCAATTTGCGACGGCAACTTCACCATTCCTGACAACTCACGCTACACGCAAGACATGCACTGCCTAATAAGTGAGTATCCCCTCTGGAAGGGGAGATGGTTCTGTTGTTTTGGGTTTACAAGTTGTTCGTTGAAACAGCCTATGAAACATAGCTTGCTCTTGATGTCTTTCAAGACAGCTGTCAGGATTCCAGCAATCGCTCTAATTAAATCATGATTCTCGAGCCAAACTTCCATAAACTTCAAAGGATTCATTAGAGGCGACATACCGGCACTGCTCTGAATGAAGCCAACTCTGGCATCCGTCATTTACAGTCCCATGTGACCCTGTTTCCCCCCTCCTCTCTGGGTGTGTCATAAATCAGATTCTCTAACTGAGCCCGTTCACAGGCTGGGTGTCATCATTCACGTTATCCAATTAAATACATTTGTGGGCAAAACCTCTGGTAGTTCAGTTACAATCTTTTAAAGAAAAGAGTTGGAATGTACTTTCGCTTTCCCCTCTTTTTATGGCAACTACTAAAACAGGCATAGGAATGTTTTATGAGTCAACAGCACCCTTGTTTTTGGTGAGGCTGGCCTCGTCTTGGTTTATTTCGCAATGGACACTTCTCTTTGCTCCCTTTGTGTGGTTGCACCAGGGGATCAAGAGAAGAGGCAACCCCAGGTCCTCATGGAGGGATCTGGTCAGCCTGCTTAACTCCCCGTACCAAGGTTGAGGGCTGCCGTAGAGCAATCCAGTTAAGCCTGGATGCTGCTGTCTCCAACTAACCAACTTTCTCTTTTGTAGGGTACATGCTGGAACCTGACCCTGACAAGAGGCCTGACATTTACCAGGTCTCTTACTTTGCGTTCAAGCTGGCTAAGAGGGAATGTCCTGTCCCCAATTTGCAGGTGAGTGACATTTCTCTGCTGTGGGGCTGCAGGCCTTTTCCCTAACCGTCAGGGGAAGGAAGAGGATGGTTTGCCAAGAGGCCGGAGCCCATAATAATAACAACAACAGTAATAATGGTACTCGGCACCCTGGGTGCTGTGCCTAAAGACCTAGGCAAGCACTTAAAAGCTATTGGCTCTGACAAAATTACCATTGGTCAGCTGCAGAAGGCCACCTTACTGGGATCTGATCTCATAATCCGTTGATACATCACGCAGTCCTAAACGCTTGGGAAGGGTTCGACTAGTGATTTGTGATACAAAATCCATCATAGTTATCTGTGTGCACTGTTGTTTTTGTGTATAATGATAATAATAATAATAATAATAATAATAATAATAATAATAATAATAATAATAATAACAGCAGCAACAACAGTAACAATAACAGCAATAATAATACAATTACAATAATACTTTATTGTCATTGTACGAATGTACACAGTATGCACATACAATGATATTCACATAACACTCAGAGACCAGACCCAACACGCACACATACATGACAATCCCCAAACACCTCCCCACCCACCAAGGTTCCCCACCCTCTAAAGCATCCACACAACAGACCAAGTAACACTGTCCAACAGCTCACCAATGGTGGTCCTTAAATTCATTGTTAAGTACCGTTATAGCTCTAGGATAAAAACTGTTCAGAAAACGTGTGGTCTGAGTTTTGATTGTTCTGTATCTTCTGCCAGAAGGCAACTGTTCATAAAGATTGTGAGCAGGATGGGAAGAGTCTCTGAGGATGTTGTGCGACTTCCTCAAACAGCGAGAGGCGAAGATTATCGTCCAGGGCTGGTAGCTGGAGCCCGATGATCTTCTGGGCAGTTTTGAATGATTCTCTGTAGAGCCTTTTTGTCCGCTCCAGAGCTTCTCCCATATCATGCAAGGATGCCGTATGTCAGGACCCTCTCAATGGTGCTGTGGTAGTAAAGCAGAAGTAGATGCTGAGATAGATTGATCTCCCTGCGCTTTCTCAGGATGTACAGCCTCTTCTTCTGTGCCTTCTTCCCCAGTATGTTAACATTCATAGTCCATGAGTGGTCCTCCGAGATATAAATGCCAGAAATTTAAAACCACCAACCCTCTCCACCTCCTCGCCATTTATGTACAATGGTAAATGTACACCTCTCTTCCTCCTGAAGTCCATTATAAGTTCTTTAGTTTTTTTGGGTGTTAAGTGTGAGATTATGAGAAATATTGTGGGAAAAAATAGGAGGAGGAAGGTGATGTTTGCCCCCTTATTTGTAAAATAATAAAGGCATCAATCTACCATCTATCACCTATCTATCTAAAAACATTCATGGGCCTTGTTCTGGGAGCTTGGTATCTTTGTGCCATGAAGGTGTACAGCTTAATTTTTAATATCACTTTTGACTTAACTTTTTGTTTATTTTACTTCTAACTTTATAACTTAACTTGTAATGCTACTTTTGTGGTGTGAAGGAATGCAATTAACCCATGACATGGTTTGCCTCCAGGTCTCCATCACTGGAGATTTTTAAGAAGAGCCTAAACCAGGGGCCCTCAAACTTGGCCACTTTAAGACTGGTGGACTTCAACTCAGCCAGCATAGCTGGCTGAGGAATTCTGGGAGTTGGAGTCCACCAGTCTTAAAGTGGCCAAGTTTGGAGACCTCTGGCCTAGGCAGCCACTTCCGTGGAATAACAGATTTGCGTGTCTTCTACTCCAACACCCCCCTTCCCCCTGTGTCATTTCAGGCAAAATGGCTCTCCAATCTCTCCTTAAAAACCTCCCGTTTTGGATAATCCACAACTTCTGGAGGAAATGTCTCTTCCACTGATTAATGGAAATTTCTCCTCAGTTCTAGGTTGCTTCTCTCCTTGATTAGTTTAATGGTGTGGGATTGCATTGTTATTCTGTCTTGTTCTGTTAAGCGTTAATGAGCACAGGGCTTGGTGTTTTTTTTTTTGTTTTAATTTTCAGAATTCTCTAATTCCTGCCAAACTTCCAGAGCCTGTGAAAACTAGCGAAGCTGCTGCTAAGAAAACCCAGCCGAAAGCCAGGTGAGCTCACCTTGGGTCTTGTTTTGGTGGTCGTGGCCAAATCAGCCTAATGGACACTAAGGTGCTAATGGAAGACCAAGTATTGACATGAGGGGACAAGAACTGGATTTTGCTGAAGAGGAGAACGTGCAAAACGTAGGGCTATTCCCAAAAGGAAGGGATGGGGCAGGCTGGTATTTCACTTCAGACTTCCTTTTCCTTCAGTGAAAAGCTTCTCCACAATTCCCATTTTTTGCAAAGCAGCACCTTGTCTGATTAACAGTTGGTAATAATAAAAAAAATATATGCCTTTCAATAAAATTTATATGACGGAAAATATGTTAACTAGCTTCCTGTTTTTTTAGACTAACACAGCTGTTCTCCAATAATAAATCCCTTTTTGAATTGTTTTAATAAAAGAAGGAAAAGATATTATATAAGCTGAAAGGAAGACAGTATTCTCTTGTCCAGAAAAATGGCCTTTAAAATAGAAGTCTTCTTAGTATTGATGAGAATTAAGATAATAGTGGCACATGGAAGGTTTTATTGTGGGAAAAAAAACCTGTTTTTCAGAGAAGATTTAAATTGAGCACCACCTGTTTTTTTTAGGTAAAGGGTACATCAAAATAAAAATGACATCAAAACTGACCTTTCAGTGAGAATGGGAGGAACTGAAAAACAAAACCTTGGAAAGGCAGAATAGATTTTTTTTTTTATAAATAAGAGGAAAGAACTGAATTTAAAAAGGGATCCAAATTTGGTCCTGGGGAAAAAAGCTTGATAAGCCATATATTATTAGATCCGTGTACCGCCCATGTCATCTAGAGGCGACATTCCAGGACAACAGATAAAAGTAGCTGGGTTTGCTGTCAATAATGGACCATGAAAAACATTGTAAAAGTTTAAAAATATTATTTATTTTATGGTTTGTATTGTATGCCTCCCCGAGTCACGTTTTATAGGCACTCCTGTAAATAGGATAAATAAAATAAATATAATGAAGATACAATGAGAAGCAGGTCAAAGCGACAAGTTGAGGCCTAGATAACCTGAAATAACAAGAAATAAAGTCTATTCTTCTTAACTCTAAATAAAGAACACAGAATTTCAAGGCCGATGTTAAGGATCAAGATTGTGGTTTGGCTTTCCTGTCCTTCACCTTTTTCTAGATCGGGGGTCTCCAACCTTGGCCATTTTCAGACTTGTGTACTTCAACTCCCAGAGTTCCTCAGCCAGCTTGGGAGTTGAAGTCCACAAGTGTTCCAAGTGGCCAAGGTTGGAGACCCCTGATCTAGATGATCCAAACCCTCCTTGGTTTGCTCTTGTTTTTCTTGAACTGCCATCTTCTCCTTTTTGGAGGCAAATCATTTCACCTGCTCCGTCTTCTCCCTTCTGTGAACTTTCTCGCACTTACCTGGATGCCTTCTTATTGGAGGACAGCTTCCCCCCCTTCGAGTCTCTGCTTGGTCTCCGTTGGATTGAACGTTTCTGGGAGGTTTAGCTTGTTTCCGTGTCCGTTGAAAGATGCCCTTTGTGGGATATTCATAGAACTGGAAGGGAACCAAAGCAATTTAGAGGAATCTGGCCAAATCTGGACAAAAGTCCTTTTTATAGAAGCATCCACAATTGCACTCAACTCTGGCGGCTGTTTCCAAGTCAACTCGGGCGGATTTTTGCTTTCCCTTCCTCCATGTAAAAGTGCCTGTCTGAAACAGGAGGCAGCCTCCAAGCGTGAATGCATTCTGGGTGTCTCCAAACTTGGTGGGTTTTTGTGGACTTCAACTCCCAGAATTCCCCAGCTGGCATAGGAGTTGAAGTCCACAAATCTTAAAATTTGCCCAGTTTGGAGACTCCTTGCTTTAAACCAGGGGTCTTCAAACTTGACAGCTTTAAGACTTGTGGACTTCCACTCCCAGAGTTCCTCCTCCGGTCATGTTAGCTCAGGAATTGTGGGAGTTAAAGTCCACAAGTCTTAAACTTGCCAAGGTTGGAGGCCCTTGATCTACAGGATCAGGGCATCCTCCAAAACAGTTGGGCCCACTAAAAGCAACTGGCTGTGATGTCCCTCAAAAGCAGCCATTATCCTAACCTCTTGTTTCGTGTTATCTGTGGTTGACAGGCTGACAGATCCTATTCCTACAACAGAAACGTCCATCACTCCACGCCAGAGACCCAAAGCTGGGCAAACGCAACCGAACCCAGGAATTCTGCCCATGCAACCTGCCTTGACTCCCAGGAAGAGGCCTGCAGTCCAAGCCAGCGTCCAGCCACAAGGTGAGAATCCTTGTTTGTTTAGTATTTATTTATTGCGAAACATATTTGTTTCCCACCTAGCATCAAATGACTCTGGGCACCTCGCAGCATAAAGACATTTAAAAAAAAAATTAAAACCACCAGACATAAAATGGCAAAGTAGATAAATTGAGATCATTAATGCAAGATGGCGAAGGAAGGAGCTGAATCCATGTGTGTGTGGGGGTGGGGATTAGCTTTTAATTAACCGACCACTCTGAAACTTCCCCCATTGGCTCTCCAAGCCAGGTCTTCAGGCTCTTATGGAACCTCAAGAGGGTGGGAGCCAAACTCAGCTTAGGGGGAGGTAAGATACAGACACAGACTAACAGAGTTGGAAGGGACCTTGTAGGTCATCCAGTCCAACCCCCCGCCCAAGCAGGAGACTCTTTCTGACAGGTGGCAGTCCAGCCTCTTCTTGAAAGCTTCCAGGGATGGAGCTCCCACCACTCACTTTCTTTCTTTCTTTCTTTCTTTCTTTCTTTCTTTCTTTCTTTCTTTCTTTCTTTCTTTCTTTCTTTCTTTCTTTCTTTCTTTCTTTCTTCCTTCCTTCCTTCCTTCCTTCCTTCCTTCCTTCCTTCCTTCCTACCTACCTACCTACCTACCTATCAGATGAACAGAGTTGGAAGGGACCTTGTAGGTCATCCAGTCCAACCCCTTCCCCTTTCTGACAGGTGGCAGTCCAGCCTCTTCTTGAAAGCCTCCAGGAAGGGCATCCAGCCAGTAAACCCTCTGGTTGCTCCATTCAGCTGCCGAGACCCCACCCCGCAGGGGATTACGGGGTTGTTAAAAAGAAGATGAAGTCATCCAGGTGGACCTCTGAGTCTCGAAAGGTCCCCAGTCTGGGCAGCCCTTCCTAGTCCGCTTTTTTTTTTTTTAACGGTTGCCAGGTGAGCATACAGGAAGTGCCTCCCCTGGGCTCCATTTGACCTCCTGCCCCGCCCTGCTCTCTGCTTGCAGCTCCAGCTCCTCTGGCCGGCGGCCAGCCTCCCCTTCCTGCAGCGATTCCTCAGCCAAACACTCTGCCTCAACCGACTCAGCCCAAGCCCGCCGGGGCTGCCCAGCCAGTGGCCGCCACGCAAGCCCAGCTCCCTTCAGCCCAGGCCACGCCGCAGCACCAGCTCTTCCTCAAGCAGCCGCAGCCGCAGCCGCCGGCTCTCTTCTATCAGCAGCAGCCTCCACAGATGCCGCCCCTGCAGGTTCAACAGGTAAGGCTGGCAACTTCCAGTTCCCCCCCGCCCCCCCGCTTTTGTCAACTGCGTCCGTCTGGCGGGGGAGTTGAGGTGGCAAAAGCAGAGCGGGCAGGGCCGGTTTGCAGAATGGAAGTTAGCCCTGGCCTCATTTAGCGACGGCTCGCAGTTAAACAGCCGTGACAAAAACGTAACTCCTTTGCCCAAATCCTCCTGTTCCCGACCTTCGGAAGTCTGGCAAGGAAAGCGGAAGAAGTAAGATCATCATAAGCACGGTTGAGGATCATCATAAGCATGATTTATTAGAAGTTGCCATGTTGGCATTACCTGGATGCAGCCGATACTAAAATACATCATTTCCCCCTTGACCCCGGCCTTCCTCCCACCCCCTGGGTGTATATCCTCCAATGGGACACATCCATAGCCAAGGGTCGTCAATCACGCTCTCCAGTAATATTCTTGTGCTTCGGCAATTTTGGGCTGCCAGGGCGATTATCTAGGCACTTAAGGAATGCACTGCTTACCCCCCACTTCCTTTTTCTGACAGCTAAAAAGACCAAAGGAGTCTCTTTTTAGATGACAGTTTGCTTATATGTCCCAAAGGTACTTTTTTTTTTTCAAGAGGCAACTGGACTTTCTGGTTTTTCTTTGAAGATGTTTTGCTTCTCATCCAAGAAGCTTCTTTAGCTCTGACCCCAATTGTAGTGGCTAAAAGAGAACGGATTTTATATCGTTATGGGGAGGGTCATCCAAGCCCATAGAGGAGGGGTCTCCAACCTTGGCCACTTTAAGCCTGGTGGACTTCAACTCCAAGGTTGGAGACCACTGCCATAGAGTTTCTTTGTGCAAACACAGGCTCTGCGAGTTAATCCTGGTGCCCCATCGGAGTCAGTCGGGCCAGGAAAACCGAAATCACATCTGCTTTAATCCTCAACACCTTGCCTTTTGCTCCACCATCCATCCTCCTGCGAGAAAGGGGAAGAGAAGGAAGGACGCGTTAGACCAGAGCAGAGTGGGTTGAAACGGCCGTTGGATTCAGGGTTTAATCCCACTTTTCAGCCTCCATGACGGGTGGCCATTAGACCTATGTGTCAATCAGCCCAGTTGTCAGGATTGCCCTAATGAAATCCTGAGCCTTGAGCCAAGCTTCAAAAGAATCCAGAAGATTTATTAAGAGCAACATGTTATATTAAGAGCAAAATTAGCCTGTATGAAGCCAACTCTACGTAATTTACAGTCCCCTGTGACCCTCTTCCCCCCCTCCCTGGGTATGTCATAAATCAGACTCCCCAGCGAAGCACGTTTTCACTGGGCTGGGTGTCATCAATCCCGTTCTCCAATTAAGGATTGTTGTGGGCAGAAGATCCGGTAGCCTAGGCTACAATCTTTGGGAGATAAGTGTTGGAAGGAACTTCTGGTTTTAAACTGCCGCCCTGCTCCTTTAGATTTCTCCCGCCCCCTTGTTTATGGCAACTCTGAAACAGACATAGGAATGCTTTACGAGTTGACACCAGTGAGGGCCCCCCCTCCCTTGTCTCTCAAACTCTGCTGCAACCACCCGGTTGTTGCGTTGCCGACTGCACCTGGATTGAGTTGTCAATGCAGGAAGGTGGATGGGGAAAACCTAAATTCACGGCGCTCAGCTTTATGTCTTCCAGAAAAGGGCAGGCAGTGACAAAGGCTTTGCTTTCCTCTCTCCTAGGCCCACAAAATGCCACAGGCTGCCCCGACGTCTGGAAAGCCTCAATTCCCGGGGATGCAGCAGGGAGCAGGGGCCGCCCCGCAGCCGCCACCGCCACAGCTTTTGGCCCAGCAAGCCGCCATCCAAGCCAAGATGGTTGCTGGGCCGCAGAAGGCCCCCGCACCGCTCCTACAGCAACCACAGGTGCCGCCTTCGGGAGCCCCAGCAGCGCCCAACCAGGAACTCCCGGTAAGGAACAGGCGGACCTTCCTCTCCATGGGTTCGGGTGCCTTGTTCTGCACCATGTGCTGCGCGAGACCAACCCGATGGGCTAAATGGTGCTCAGGATCTACGCCGTAAAGAATAAAGGCAGATTTAAGAACTCTTAGCCCGGTTTGGTGTGTTGTATGAGTGCAGCCATCAGATCTTTGACTGGGCATTGTCTGAGGGTAGCCAGCAACTCTTTCATAGACACAGATAAAGATTAACAGAGTTGGAAGGGACCTGGTAGGTTGTCTAGTCCAACCCTCCACCCAGGAAGGAGACCCTGCACCATTTCTGACAGCTGGCAGTCCAGCCTCTTCTTGAAATCCTCCAGGGATGAAGCTCCCACAACTTCTGAGGGCAACTTCTGTTCCATAGGTTGATTGTTCTCACTGTCAGAAAGTTTCTCCCTATTTCCAGGTTGAATCTCTCCTCCTTGTTCAGTTTCCATCCATTGTTCCTTCTCTGGCCTTTGGTGCTTTGGAAAATGGCTTGACCCCCTTCCTCCTCTCTGGGGCAGCCCCTCAAATATTGCAAGTCTGCTATCCTGTCTCTCCTGGTCCTTCTCTTCACCAGACTATCCAGGCCCAGTTCCTGCAACCGTTCATCGTATGTTTTAGTCTCCAGTCCCCTCATCATCCTAGTTGCTCTTCTCTGCAGTCTTTCCAGAGTCTCAACCTCTTTTTCATAGTATGGTGACCAAAACTGGTCAAAACTAGTAGCTTGAACCAGAACTAGATTCCGCTGGTGAAGGGGCTCTCAGCCAACCTTCTCTTAAGGACCAACTTGGTTCTGCTCTGGAAGTTGCGATGCGAACCGATCTGCAAAGTCCAGGGGATGAAGGGCTACTCCAGCTAGTAAACCTGTGGAACTGTTGTGCAAAAGGCACCAATAAACGTGGTTTTGGTAGCGTTGCGCAACAGCCGTGACTTGTGTTTGCGGAGGGCAGAGGGAGTGGCCTTGGGGGGGCACTGGGAAGGCCCGTTGCCAATACAGGTGGTTCTTGACTCATAACTGTTCATTTAGCGACCTTTCAAACTTACAACGGCATGGAAGAAGTGACTTACAACCAGTACATGCCCTAATTATGATCTCAGCATTCCCCGTGGTCATGTGATCAAAATTTGGGTGCTTGGCAATTAGCATGTATTTATGACGGTTTGTCCCGGAATCCCGGAATCGACTTTTGCAAGCAAACTCAATGGGGAGGCCAGTCTCTCAACAACCTTGTTGTTAACAACTGCAAGTGATTTCGCTTAACAAGCATGGGGGGAAAAAAGGTAACATTGGGTGTGACTGGCTTAACAACTGCCTCGCTTAACGATAGAAATTCTGGCCTTAATTGTTGTTGTAAGTCAAGGACTAGCCGTGTAACGATTAGAGAAACGTGGCTTAAGCCTGTTCCAAGAAAATAGTTTCAAGGGAAAACAATTCAGGCCAGCCCTTCCCTCGTTGGGGAGGGAGGGAGGAGCCCAAAGGGACTTGCAAAATTCTGCTACTAGAGGTTTTACCCCAAAAAGGTGGTCTTGTTCTCTTTGGCCATGGTTCCTTCTGCTTTGCGAAGACGGCATGTTTGAGACAGATTGTCTGCGGGAACCCTTCAGCCTCATTGGGTGGAGAGGATTCTGGTCAATTGACCCATGTAAACGATGGTTCTTTTTCTTTCTCTCTTTTGATGTCATCTGTGGGAGGACATTCGTGAGCGTATAGAGTTCAGGGTAGATTTACTACTGGAGGAAACTGAAAGAGCAGGGTGCCTCTTTAGAGCTGGTTACAAGCCCTGTGGGGATTGACACATCTGGAATACAGACTCCCATCAGTGCCAGATGCTACCGTGGTGTGTGAATCGTTAGAGAACCAGACTGACCCACAACCACAAGAAGGTTCAGTAGATTTGATCTCACTTTGACGGGCAATGTGTGAAGCAAAGGCAGATAAAGATTTATCAAGATAAATATTACAGTTCTGCCATTGTTATAACTCCAGCTAAATCATTCATGCATCTGTTTCATAATGGGCATAAGTTCTGACCACATAACATTAATATTCTTAAATACTTTATTATTATTTGACCCATCACTGACTGATCAACTCCCTCTGCTTTCTGCTGCTGGGAAGTGGAGTGGAGGCGGCCTCTCTCCTCTTGCCTGGCTTCCTTTCAGCCTGGTGGGCCAAGACAGATTGGGAGCAGCCCTGCTGTTTGCTTTGGCCTCTGTTCCTAGGCTGGAGGAGGCGCAAGGGAGGGAGAAGGCCTTCATTGAGCAGAGCCGGCAGGGGCCGGGGTGGTTATGTGGGCAAGATTGTTTGCAAAATTCCAAATTACTCAAAAAGAATTTGGAAGGAGTTGATTCCACAGTTTGAATTTAGCTCGATGTCAGTGGAGAGCTTTCATGAGCCTTACTCTGCATTGCGTAGTTGTATAAACATACATTTTATTGGCAGTGCCCTGGTTGGACATAGGTTAGGCCAGAGGTTTCCAAACTTGGCAACTTTACGACTTATGGACTTCAACTCCCAGAATTCTCCAGCCAGCATAGCTTTGGGGAGCAAATCAGTGGTGATATACCACCGGTTCGGCCCAGTTCAACTGATCCGGTAGTAAAAATAACTGCCAGTACTGATGAACCGGGTCCTCTGACAATCAACTGAGAGGATAAAAGAAGTGAGAAGCGCACGGGAGGGTGGGAGCTTTTCATTTCTTCATTCTCTCAGCTGCTTGGTGCGTTAGGGGCGCATGCACAATCACCCACCAAATCGGTAGCGACCAAGGTAGAAACCCACTACTGGAGCAAATGCCAAGGAAGATGGGAAACTGAAGACCCCCCAGAACAATGGGATAGACAAGTAGTTGTGTTTGGAGAAGACACCAAGCCATACATTAAACAATAGGCTACTACATATTACATGCTACATACCTACATGTATGTATGTATGGTTAGTGTAGGCCTCTCTGTGAACCTTGAAACTTTGATCGTATTTATTCTGGGATGCAAATGGAGCCTGGTGTATTTCCGTCCTCTTGAACCTCTTGAAACGTGGCCCATCGTCCCTTCAGTTGGAATTGGATTTGAAGTCCTTGGTTTTCTGCCCAGATTCTCTTCTTTGCAAATCGCAAGGGCTGACTTGCTTCCGAAGCCCTGAGAGGTTTGCTGTAGGTCTCTCTTTGGGGTCCATGTAGCTCAGAGGTGGCCAGCTTGAGGCCCCCCGGCACCACATGGATTCCCCGAGTCCTTTTCCTGCAACAGAGTCAGTGAAAACTGGCAGTGGGCTCCCTTGCCTGTCTTTACCTAATGGGCTGTGAGAAGAACCTTGGGAGACAGGAGGGAAGAGAGGCAGCCTAGGCCAGGGGTCTCCAACCTTGGCCACTTTAAGACTTGTGGACTCCAACTTCAAAGCTGGCTGAGGAACTCTGGGAGTTGAAGGTTAGAGACTCCTGGCCTGGACAATGGTAAAACCAGTGATATCTCAGCCCTTAGAAGGAATCAAGGTCAAGATAAGGGAAGTTTGTGGAGAGCCGCAGGTTGGACAACCAGCATGCAAAAGATAAACGTCCCACAGCTCTTCTCACCTGCTCTTGATCAGGAGGGAGGCAGGAGGCGTCTTTTGCAGGGGCAAATAGCCAGGTCCCCACGTGAAGAGTTACTTGTTAGCTGTTCAGTTGCCAAAGCCTATACTGTACCCAGGAATCTCAGGCTAATGGTTAGCACCTGGCTCAGACTCAGTGAGGTTCCGCGGCATTCAAGAGGGGTCAGACACGGCCTCTTGTACCCATGAAAGGATTCTAGACAAATGCCCTCTTTGACGCCTTCCCCCGGCTCAACAGTCGATCTCCAACACCCAGAACCTTCAGCGAATAGAACCAGGATTTTCAAGGTGGTTTCCTGCAATCCTTCAAAGGACTAACCTGGGAAGGCTCATGGGACTGGGGAGGGGGATATTCTCCCATGGTTGGCTGTGCTGAAGTTCCTTACTTATACCCCCCCCATCCTAAAAGGCCTTCCATTTCATGCTTACAATGTATGCGCTTATCAAGTGTGCTCTTTGCCTCATGAAAACCGGGGCTTTCCCTGCACCCGGAGTAGCAGCTGCCTCCTCCATCTAAAAGGCCTGGAGACTTGCCAGGAGTCTCTGCTCCCATCCCTGCAGATGCTGGCAAGTAAATTTCATTCCCCCCCCCCCCCCCCCCCCCCCGCTTTCCTCCTCTTAATTATATTCCACTGCAATCATTCCCGTTTGTTTCTTTTTGAAATGCAGCTTTTCTCGCTCTGGCGTCTCTTAGAGCTGGAGGTCTTTGCACACAATTTTCCCGTTATTACTCGGTTAAGGCTCTTGAGTTTCTGAAGCCACCTGGTTTCAAGAGCTAGTCTGGGGGGGGGGGACACACGACCCTCCCCGCTTCCCCTCCCCCCAGATATTCCTGCTATAAGGGAAGTAAAACGTGCCTGAGTGAAGAGATTTCTTTGGTCATCAGTTTTGTTCATTCCATGGGCATCAGGGCAGAAGGACACAGGGCCCCTATTAACACAGTTTGAGAGAGAGGGAGGGAGGGAGGGAGAAGGAAAGACAGAGAAAAGGAAAGACAGAGACAGAAAGGGAGAGAGAGAGAGAGGAGAGAGAGAG